ATTTAGTAATGGGTTTGACCTTGCCAGCAGCATTGGAAATGAAACGCCTCAAATAGTTCACCTTACCCAAAAGACTTTGAATTTCTTTAACCGTCTTAGGTGGCCGACTGTCAAGAATGGCTTTAGCCTTATTGGCATCGATTTCAATTCCTCTCTCATGAACTAGAAATCCTAAAAAGCTCCCGGCTGATATTCCAAAAGCACATTTAGTTGGATTCATCTTCAACTTGTACTTCTTCATTCTTTCGAATGCCTCTTCAAGATCTCTCAAATGTTCGTCAAAACTGGCAGATTTAACAATAACATCATCAATATAAACTTCCATAGATCTGCCAATTAAATCATGAAAGATTGAATTCATGGCTCTTTGGTAAGTTGCCCCTGCATTCTTTAACCCGAATGGCATGACTGTCCATTCATAAATACCTAAAGCCCCTGGGCATCTGAATGCTGTCTTAGGAATGTCTTCTTCTGCCAAGAATATTTGGTTATAACCTGCATAACCATCCATCAGACTAAGGATTTTATGCCCTGCTGCTGCATCTATCAACATGTCGGCCATAGGCATCACATATTCGTCCTTAGGGGTAGCTAGATTCAAATCCCTGAAGTCGATGCATATCCTTATCTTACCATTTTTCTTGACCACTGGCACAATGTTAGCCAGCCACTCCGCATAACGGCAAGGCTGAATGAAACCCACTTTGAGGAGTTTTTGGATTTCTTCCTTGATTTGAGGCATCAGCTCCGGGCTCATTCGCCTTGGAGGTTGTTTGTAAGGTTTGCAACCTTCCTTGATAGGCAATCGATGCTCTATTAGACTTCTTGTCAAACCAGGCATTTCTGAATAATCCCATGCTAAACAATCAATGTTGTTTCTAATAACTTCGAGCATCATTGTTTGTTGCTCTTTAGACAAATAACCACTTAACCTGATCACTTTTGGAACCAATTCGGTTCCTAAATTAAACTCCAATAACGGGTCTTGTGATGAAGCTGTTGGTTCTGTTTTTTCTAATAAGTCGGGCCAACGAAATTGTTCATCTTCTTGGAGGTGAACATCCAGAATCTCTTTATTATTTTCTACTTTATGTAATAACTGCTTTAAATAGAACTTATTAATAAGAGAACTACATACTTCTAAACTTGTATCTTCCATAACAAACAAATTATATAGGAATGGGTGTGGCTTTATCATGAGCCATACAATAAAGGTGTTCTTTTAATAGAACATCGAGTTCTGGCCAGTGACTTTATAACCCTTGTTTGGGTATTCCCTGGCCATATACAATTGAGACATCGGAGCCAAAGGACTGGAATAAAATACTGACTCTTCAACTTGTTCTGATACATCAAATGGGTTGTCATTCGCTTCCATTTTGAAGACCTGATTTCCTTCCCAGAACATTAATTGTTGGTGCAAGGTTGATGGCACACATTGAGAGGCATGAATCCAGTCTCTTCCCAGCAAGAGAGAGTATGTAGTATCTGCGTCCACAATAAAGAAAACAGTGGAGATCTTCTTTGGCCCGACCTCGATCGTGGCAACCATCATGCCTTCAGGCTTAGTCGGCTGCCCTGTAAAACTTGTCATTTCGAATTCCACAGGAGACAGATCATGAATTCCTTTCCCTAACTTCTTGAGGGTCTTCAATGGCATAACATTAAAGACTGCTCCATTATCCACGAAAACCTTTGTGATTGGTTTCCCACAAATGTGAGCATTAACATATAGAGGTTTCAAATGGGAGATCGCACCCTCTGGAATAGGAGGAAACACAATCGAAGGTGTTTCCGACTGAGGATCGGAATCTGTGGTCTTTGCCCACTCTGTTTCCTCTAATTCGCCATCTGCCAAGAATGCCCATAAAGGTTCGTCCATAGTATCATCTACCAGACTCGCCCACATCGGTTCATCACTCATCTGATTAATCTCTGTCATTCGACAAGGGATTCGTGGTCCGAGACGAGATTTAACAGATCTTGAACTTTCCTCTGTAGTTACTACTTCTTCCTTTGTCATATCCCGAGATTGAACCGTCAAAGATTCAATACGAAATTCTTCAAGAGATGGATTGATGTTGATCCGTTCACAATGTTGGCATCTAAAACCTTTAATTATTTCATCTGCCATTCCTTTACCTTTCCCTTGTCCCGACGAACTTCCTTTGGTATAGTCGGAAGCACCTAATCGGTCGTTCGGTTGCTTTCCTGAACAGACCCGACTGGACCGACTTTTTAGAGATTGAATGGCTGCTCCCGGCTCGTTGGTCGTTCGTTCTGTAAAGACTATAATGGACTGATCTCCTGCCCAGTGGTCGGCTGCTTTTTGTTCGTCGGTTCGTTGTTTTACTGAAGGGACTTGTTTCCCATACTTTGCAGCATACCTGCGTTTGGCGTTGCGGATCTGTGTACGATTCATACCTGGGAAACGAGGATCTATATCAACGGGTAAAGGCTTTTTATTTCGAGCCCAATTGTTCCCGACTGATCCTGTTTTTCTGGTCGGGTGGTCACGTACTACAACCCTTTCTTTCACCTCCACATTAAACGAACCGTCTGGTCGGTCCCATTTTTCAGCGACTGGTCTTTCAACAACTTTGAGTCGTTCTTCCGGTCGGCCACTGTTTGGCTGACTTCCCTTTTTAGTTCCAGGGTTTGCCTGAGTTCGTTCCCCTGTATGTCCATCATTGGCCGAACTTTTCCCTGTTTCCGAACTTGGTTGGATGTCAACCATTGCCGTTGTTACTTTCGGAAACGGTTGCTGGTCTACACCTAGAGTGATGTATTTGAGCCGACCTGTCTTAATGGCTTTTTGAATTTCCTTCCTGAAATGAGTACACTGACTTGTATTATGTGTGAAAGAATTATGCCACTTACAATATGGTCTCCCTTTGATCTCTTCTTTAGTGGCCAATCTTTGCCCCTTTGGAATACGGATCTGCCCATCAGTCAGTAGGATATCAAAGATTTCATCAGCTTTCGAACTATCAAACGTCGGTTGCTCCTTTCCTTCAGATCCTGGAACTGGCTTCAATTTAGGGCATACATAAGGTTTTCCAGAAAGGATTTCGGCTGCCATCTCTTCTGACTGATTAAAATCAAAGTCACATGTTTCTGTTCCCATACTCGCCATATGTTGGCCTCTATTACGCCTGTTATGCTGATATTCTTCTCTAAACAAAGATTCTAAACGTCCTGCCTTGGATGCAAGACTTGCCAAATCCTCAACATCCAGGGCAGTGAGCGCCTTTCTTAAGCGAGTATGCATATTCCGGACCACTAAATTGGTCATCTCTTTCTCACTGATTACCGTAGGACATCGTCCCTTCATCAATCGCACCCTTTCTATAAATTGTGAAGCAGATTCTTCTGGATACTGCCTCAATTCCAGTAAATCTGTTAAAGAAACAGTTGGTAAAGGATTGAAGAATCTAGCATGAAATGCCGTCTCCAGTCCTTCCCACGTCTGAATTTGTCCAGGGGGCAGACTTGCAAACCACGAAAACGCGGTTCTAGTAAGAGATAAACCAAACAGTTGCAACTTATAAAAAGGGTTATTACCAACTTCTCCCAATTGTGCTGTGAACCGACCAACATGTTCTATGGTGGAAGATCCGTCCTCCCCTGAGAATGCATGAAAATCGGGTGGTCGATAATTCCTTGGGAGAGGGTGTTCATTAATGACCCTTTCTGGGAAAGGTTTCTGATATGCAGGGCGGTTAGCCATCTGAGGAGTTAATCCATACTGATCCCTTAATATATGTGCAAGCTCATCAGGATCTACATGAAAGCGTTGATGATCAGGAACATGGAACGGATCCTGCACAGGAATATGAATAGGATCATGTATATATCCTTCAGGCCTGTCCTCCCTTGTATTGTTCGTCTGCGGATTGGTAACCCTTGGTCCCAGTGGAACAGTGTTGGGAAAAGTCAGAGGAGATTTTCCCCTATCCATTCGGTTGGGATTAGTGGCACTTGGGAATGTACTGTCCACGAATGATGGCCCTGCGAAATTTGTCTGTAGTCTGGACGGTGATACTCCTGGTGGAGTTTGAGTGGGTTGAAGACTAACCCTAGACAGTGCTTGATCTATCATGGTCTGCATCAGATTCTGTTGCTCACGCAACATGTTCGTTTGTTGCTCACGCAACATTTGTTGAACATAAGACCACCAATCAGTTGGTGGTTGTGGGATTTCCCCGGCATTTGGCACAATAGGTGGTGGAACGGATTCTCCCACCGGTGCCGAAGATGATTGAGGTTGTGAACCTGCCATATGGACCCTTCCGATGATACGGCCGGATCTAAGACGTATGAAATTTTCGCCGGAATTGGAATGAGCAATTTTGTCTTGCTCCCACTGTGGTCGCCAATTTGTTGATGTAATTTTTCAACAAAAATAAAGTAAAATTCAAAGATATAGAAAATATCCTTAAACTTGATTAATTAGTGCCTGAGATTAGGAATCTCTAAACACTGTATGGTACAGAAAATAAACTGGAAAATAAAAGACTGAAATTTAAAGTGGTGATCCCCAAATCTGACTTTGCTTTGTTGAAGTTGATTGAAGATGCCTTGCCAAATGATTATCCAAGCCTTTAAATATTCTCTGGGAAACCGTACCGAAAACCGTCACCCGAACGGTTACAATGTCTCCTTCCCAACCGTCTTCCAACCCTTCTCCTGCTGACACGCGTCCTCAGCAGACCAAAATTATCCCTATATTTCACTCTTTGAGCCGACCACAGACCTTCCGCCCTTTAGGCCCGACTGCCAATCTACAATAGTATGGGTCCGACTGCCAATCCTCCCGACTTGCAAACCATCTGACTTGCTGGTTCTGCCGCAGAATTCCGACCTGAGAACTTCCCGACCTGAGGGCCTTCCGTCTTGATGACCTCCCGACCTGGAAACCTTCCGACTTGAGGTCTTTCCGTCTTGAGGACTTCCCGACCTGAAAACCTTCCGACTTGAGGTCTTTCCGACTTGAGGACCTCCCGACCTGAAAACCTTCCGACTTGAGGTCTTTCCGTCTTGAGGACCTCCCGACTTGAAAACCTTCCGACTTGAGGTCTTTCCGTCTTGAGGACCTCCCGACCTGAAAACCTTCCGACTTGAGGTCTTTCCGACTTGAGGACCTCCCGACCTGAAAACCTTCCGACTTGAGGTCTTTCCGTCTTGAGGACCTCCCGACCTGAAAACCTTCCGACTTGAGGTCTTTCCGTCTTGAGGACCTCCCGACCTGAAAACCTTCCGACTTGAGGTCTTTCCGTCTTGAGGACCTCCCGACCTGTAAACCTTCCGACTTGAGGTCTTTCCGTCTTGAGGACCTTCCGACCTGAAGTCTTTCCGTCTTGAGGACCTACCGTCCTGAGGACTTACCGACCTGAGGTCCTTCCGTCTTGAGGACCTACCGTCCTGAGGACTTACCGACCTGAGGTCCTTCCGTCCTGAGGACCTTCCGTCTTGTATTTTCCTTAGAAATAAATCTATTTTCCTTGATTTCCTCACGGTGTCCTTCAGCCAGTTCAATCAACTCTATTGCCAGGCCCATTCTTCTTTTTACCTTGGGCTTTTAACCTAATTCTAAATTTCGTACGTAACAATATTTAATTATATTTTTATTTTATTCTAGAGTTTTTAAAAAAAATTTAAATAGAATTTTTTGGTGGGCTACCACCACTCACTTGTTTTCCTTGTGTTCACCTTGTATATATTATTTAATTATATATAATTATATTTTAGATTTTTCTATAATTTTTTTATATTATGTGTGTTGATGTAATTTTTCAACAAAAATAAAGTAAAATTCAAAGATATAGAAAATATCCTTAAACTTGATTAATTAGTGCCTGAGATTAGGAATCTCTAAACACTGTATGGTACAGAAAATAAACTGGAAAATAAAAGACTGAAATTTAAAGTGGTGATCCCCAAATCTGACTTTGTTTTGTTGAAGTTGATTGAAGATACCTTGCCCAATGATTATCCAAGCCTTTAAATATTCTCTGGGAAACCGTACCGAAAACCGTCACCCGAACAGTTACAACGTCTCCTTCCCAACCGTCTTCCAACCCTTCTCCTGCTGACACGCGTCCTCAGCAGACCAAAATTATCCCTATATTTCACTCTTTGAGCCGACCACAGACCTTCCGCCCTTTAGGCCCGACTGCCAATCTACAATAGTATGGGTCCGACTGCCAATCCTCCCGACTTGCAAACCATCTGACTTATTTGGAATAGCTACAGACATCCCGACTAACAAACCATCCGATTTGTTGGTCCTGCCGCAGAGTTCCGACTTGAGAACTTCCCGTCCTGAAGGCCTCCCGACCTGCGGATTTCCCGTCCCGAGGGCCTCCCGACCTGCGGACTTCCCGTCTTGAGGACCTCCCGACCTGAAGACCTTCCGACCTGAGGTCTTTCCGTCTTGAGGACCTACCGACCTGAGGTCCTTCCGTCCTGATGACTTTCCGTCTTGAGGACCTCCCGACCTGAAAACCTTCCGACTTGAGGTCTTTCCGTCTTGAGGACCTACCGACCTGAGGTCCTTCCGTCCTGATGACTTTCCGTCTTGAGGACCTCCCGACCTGAAAACCTTCCGACCTGAGGTCTTTCCGTCTTGAGGACCCACCGACCTGAGGTCCTTCCGTCCTGATGACTTTCCGTCTTGAGGACCTCCCGACCTGAAAACCTTCCGACTTGAGGTCTTTCCGTCTTGAGGACCTACCGACCTGAGGTCCTTCCGTCCTGAGGACTTTCCGTCTTGAGGACCTCCCGACCTGAAAACCTTCCGACTCGAGGTCTTTCCGTCTTGAGGACCTACCGACCTGAGGTCCTTCCGTCCTGAGGACTTTCCTTAGAAATAAACCTATTTTCTTTGATTTCCTTACGATGTCCTTCAGCCAATTCAATCAACTATATTGCTAGGCCCATTCTTCTTTTTACCTTGGGCTTTTAACCTAATTCTAAATTTCGTACATAACAATGTGAATGAGTTAATCTTTTATAATTGAATAAATATATTATATACTTATAAATACATTTTTTTATGTATTTTATTAATTAATTTATGAAGTTTATTTTACATAATTATTTTTATAAATATTTTTATATTCATTTTATATATATTACTTTATTTTTTTTATAACTAATACATTTTTGTTTCTATTTTTTTATATTAAATCAAAGTTTTACGATTCAACACGCATGCTCATTATAATAATAATAAAAATTTATGTTATTTACTCTTATAAAACATCACACCAAATATTATTTAAATCATAACTCAAAAAAAAAAAAAAAAACTCAATTTCGATAATTCTATCATAATCACATAAATACTACTATAGTGGGATCAAATGACATATACAAACATAACTAACATATTTTGTCAAAGTCTTCCTTCGTATATCCATATAAAATTAACACTTGCAAAATTGAGCATAACTACATAAAATTTATTTGTTCTTCCAACAATTTTTTTCAAACGTAATTCTCAATATAGAAAATATTTATATTTTATCTTTTCATAAAAAATTCAACATCAACATTCTCAGTATATAAAATATTTAATCTAGATGGTCAATTTCTTTTTATATAGATTTAGGGTGTTTGCAAAATATTTTTCGAATAGATTTTAGCAATTTGAAGAACTCTCGGTTCTTTCATCTGTAAAAGAAATTAATTTAACTATATGTTCAATTAGCCTTTTAAAATATCTTATTAACCTAAAAGCAAATTTTTAGAAGTTATCCTACTAGTGTTTCACAAGATAATTTTCACTCCAATTTTTTATTTATTTATATTTGTCTTTAAACTTAATTATTTTTCTTACACAAATATCAATATATTTTTATTTTATTTGTAATATATATATTAATTTATTAAATTAAGTAATAATATAGATATTATTAATTTTTGTATGTATTTTTTTATTATATAAATTTTATATTAAAAATAAATCAAATAGATTAAATTTACTGGGAAGTGTAATGATAAATAAATTAATAATTAATATAATTAAAATATATATAATGCGAAATTTGCTTTTCTACATTTGACTCAAACAAGAGAAAAAAGAATGTATATACTTTTTGAATTATAAATAATCAACACAGTAATTAACTACACCAGAATTCACAACTTCAGAAAAGTCCTAATCACAAAATAATATCTAATTACTAAACAATAGCAATAGCCCTATCCAATGCGAGAATACAATAACCTTAATCTGAAAAAAAAAAAAAAAAAAAAAAAAAAAAAAAAAAGGCATTTTTTGGTGTCTCTTAAAAACAAAGCAAATTTAAAAATAAAAATACTCTACTAAATTTTTAGCCTTGTCATTTCAAAAAATTTTATAATATTAGACCGATGGTTCTCCAATGTTGGATATATATTTCTTATTTATATTTCAAATTTATTTTACATTCTTCTTCATTTTTTTTATATAATATACATATATTAAGAAAGACATTTCTTTATATATTATTAATTACTTTATTAGTTTGTTGTATATATTTTTATTTCTATAAATATTTTTATATTCATTATTTATATTACTTTAATTTTTTATAATTAATATACTTTATCTGTACTTGTTTTTTTTTTTTTTTCAAATGAAAAACTTTCAAATTTAGTGTGCACTTTGCAATAAAGAAATATATTATTTACTTTTACAAAATATCACTCGAACTACTACTTAAATCAAAACACAAATAATAAAATTTACGCCGATAAGTACTATAGACAGATAAAATCACATAGTTTAACATAACTTACACATTTTGCTACAGCCTTCTTATATCCACACAAAATTAGCGGTTGCAAAGTAAACCCTATATACATAAAATTTAAATACACACTATAAACATAATAGACCAATTAAATAACAAAGTAGTACAAGATATGATTCATATCAAGAAACAATTTACTGAACTATGTACATATATGTTGATTCATCCCCAAAGCCAACATATGTTCACTCTAATTAATGAAGAAATATGCTAGCCACCCTTACTAGTGTATACACAATCCCCAATTGAATCCCCTTACTCTTCTTCCTGAGCGTCAAAGTACTCGAATCTAGTGCATTGATCAAGACAGAAAACCATAATCGCGAAGCAAAGGCAATTGTGCAGCAGCAAGAAACTAGACGAGAGCATGTGTTTGTAGCAGGTACTCTTGCCATGCCCGAAGGAACATATATTTTGGTGGGTCCTTTCTTCGTTTGGGAACTAAGATTTGATGCATATGATTTCTTTTTAGTATCCTCCTGAGATGTTGTGGTGGGTGATTCATTGTTTTCTCTTAAATGAGGATCAACCACCTCATCAGGCTATGGAGGCAAAATAAAGACTATGAATAAGTCTCATCAACTACATAAGATGTTAAAAACATAAACAAATTCAACCTTGATCTTGTACCATTGTGCTTGATCAACACACACAAAAGTAAATAAAAAATTTAGGATGTCTCATTTGCACGGAGAATGCATATAACATTTTTCTCGTGAGAAAATCTTTGAAGTTAGAAACCATTCAAATATGTCATTAATACCAACTTATCTTTAACTTGCATGTGTCAATCAATCCAAAGATCAATATAAATGCTCACAACGTCTTCCTACCATGCATCCACACTTGCTCCTACCTCAAGTCTCGGGTCCAACTTATCCCTACAATTGACAAAGGTCTTTGTTGATGGTGGAGTTTGATAAGCACGGGATCCATTGACTACTGTATGGATGATAGATACATCATAGTTTTTCTTTACAATAAGGGTACTTGCTTTTTAAATCCATAATCAATTTTAAAAAGCCAACCTCAGAGTAGTATTTGATTCATCATCCCAAAAAACAACACCTATCTCTCCACCATTGCATCAATCGTCCATCAATCGATTCCCAATCCTCAGCAGGGTTTGGGTTCCTTCTATGTGTAGGAGGCCTAACAATTCAAGCTAGCGCAAAAGAGTTAAGAGTCCACTCTTGCCAATTGTTGCCCTAGCCGTCATAGTTGGGAGAAGGGTCATTTGTGTGCAAGGTTTGAGAGAGACAATCGTTTTCACGCACGCAAGAGAATCGGCAAGCAAGAGAGAATTTCTTCAACTTGGTTCCGATCAACGGTCTCGTCATCTTCAGATGTTCTTTTTTGGTATCTTTGATTTCTCACTATTTGTTTGGATTTGATTTTAAATCTTATTGGTTGGGAATTGGAATGGGTTGTTAGTAGTTGGGAGATCTCTTGTGATTGGGGTTCGATTCTTGTAATTGGGTGTGAAGTTTGATAGCCCTTTTGGTTGTGGTTATCTTTGATTGTACGAACCTTTTGATATAGTAGATTTTACCTTGGGTCGGGTGATAGGCCTCGTGGTTTTTATCCTTCACTTTGAAGGAGTTTTCCACATTAAAAGTTTTGGTGTCTCCTCTTATTATTCTATTGTTTATTGGCGGTTATAATTCATCGTACTTTGGCACAAAGGAGAATTGATTAAAGGCAAAGATTTTGGTGGAACAGTTTGAACACCCTGCTTAGGCGTGACCACGCTTAAGGAGTACATCGAATCTGATTTTGGTTTGCATTTTGTTCTTCTTCCGGTATTCTCCCAACATAAAATGGTATCAGAGCAATGTTGTTTGGGAGTGTTATTTACTAGGTGAAGCATGAAGAACACAAATCCTCTCCTCGATACAAAGCCAAACTTGTTGTGACGGGCTTTAGTAAAAAACATGGTGTTGATTTTGAGGAGATTTTTTCACCGGTTGTCAAAATGACTTCTATTCGTGTAATCTTGGGTTTGGCTGCTTGTCTTGACTTAGAACTGGAGCAAATGGATGTCAAGACAATATTTCTTCACGGTGAACTCAAAGAAGAAATTTATATGGAGCAACCTAGAGGTTTTATGGTGAAAGGGAAAGAGAACCATATATGTCGATTGAAAAAGAGCTTGTATGAGCTTAAACAGGCTCCGAGGCAGTGGTACAAGAAATTCGAATATGTTATGATTCAACAAGGGTACAAGAAGACTGATGCCGACCCTTGTGTTTTCGTGCAGTGGTTCTTAGGTACTGATGTTAGCATCTTACTTCTTTATGTAGATGATATGCTCATAGTAGGTTCTTCAGCCTCGAAAATAAAAAGTTTGAGGAAAGAGTTGAGTAAGCATTTTGCGATGAAGGATTTGGGGCCAACTAGAAGTATTTTTGGGATGTATATTTCTCGGAATAGAGAAGAGAAAAAATTATGGTTATCCCAAGAAAAATATATCAAAAAGGTGTTGCAGCGGTTCAACATGGACAAGGCCAAAGCTACTTCTACCCCGTTTGTTGCTTCGTTTAAATTGAGTGTGAAACACTGTACTTCTACTGAGAAAGAAAAGAAAGATATGCAGCGGGTTCCTTATGCCTCAGTAGTTGGAAGTTTGATGTATGCTATGGTGTGTATTCGGCCGGACATAGTTCACGCAGTTGGTGTTGTCAGTCGATTCATGTCGAATCGTGGCAAAGAGCATTGGAGTGTAGTGAAGTGGATTCTGAAATATATTTTGGGAACTTCGAGTATGAGGTTGTGCTTTGGTACTGATAAACAGG